GCCTCCATGCTTTAGATGCAGATAAGAGCAGAGAAGGAAGTTTTTATTCCATGTTACCTGATACAGGGAAGCTCTTACTTTAGCCCATGCAGGCTCAGTCAAAACTCCCCCTCCCCTGCTGCTCCCTTGCTGCCGCTGCTCACGTTGCTTCTTCTGCTGCTGTTGGTGCTGCTTTTGATGCACGTTCTCTTGGTTATTCTCCTGCCGTTTCTGCCCCTGCTGCTGCAATTCCTTTGCCTTTTTCTTCTTCTGATTCTGCTTCTGATTCTGATTCTGTTGCTGTTGCTGTTGCTGTTGTTGCTGCAGCTGCTGCTTCCCTTGCTGCTGCTGGTTCCCTCCCTGACCCCCCTTGTTGGTGGAAAGGGAAGGAGGGAAAAGAGCCCTTCCCGATTGGGTTATCAAGGAGGGTGGTGAGACTGACAGAGAAGGGGAGAGAGACAAAGAGGGAACGTGAGAGGAAGGAGGAGGGGGAGAGTGCAAGGATGAGGGAGCGAGGCGCGAATGGGGGGAGGAGAGGGATGCGGAAGGAGGAGGCAGCGCGGAGGCTTGGGAAGGAGAGGGGATTGTGTGGGGAGAAGATGATTTTGTAGGAGTAGAGGTGAGGGATGGAAGAGGGGTGTGGAGCGGAGGAGGAGGAGGAGCAGGAGGAGCAGGAAGAGCAGGAGGGAGCGTGGGAGAAGAAAGGGAAGGTGACGGGAGAGAGGGGCTTGAGAGCAACGGGGAAGAGGAGGAAGACCCCCTATCTGACCCATTCTGCAAACGTCCTTCTCTTCCTTCTGATCCTGCTCTGCTACTTCCCTCCCTGCCCTGCTCCCGCTTCTGCTGCTGCTGCTGCCTCTGCTCCTTCTGTGGCTCTTGCACCTGATGCTCCCCAATCTGCTGCTTTTCTCTCTGCTGAACCAGCGCCCTCTGCTGCTCCTGTCCCGGCTGCTTCTGTTGCGCGTCCTCCTGTTGCTTCTGCTGCTCCCTCTGCCGCTCTACGACTTGTCTAATTCCACCAACGCTACCACCCTCCCTCACTGCATCCCCTTGCATGTTCCCACCAACCGCTTGCATCTGTCTCCCCTCAGCATCTCCCCCACCCTCCTCAACGAAATCTCCACGCCAAGGGCCCACCTTTACATTCCTCCTCTCCTCCTCCCCGCTCCTCCTCTCCTCTCCAGGTCTTCCCCCTTGGGCAATCAACCCCTCCTCTCCTCCCTTACTCCCTTCCCCGCCCCCTCTTTCCATCCTCAAGCCCTCAACTTTTCCCTGTTCCCAAATTCTCTCACTTCTATCCCCCCCATTTTCTCTTTTCCGTTCCATGTTGCCTTCAACTGCTTCCCTGCCTCCTCCTCTCTCTCCTCCTGCCTCCCAGCCTCTCTCCCCTTCATCATCTCTTTCCTTTGCTTCCCCGTTCTCCCCTTCGCCATCCAATTTCCTATCCCCTCCCCCATCCCGCATCTCCCCTCCTTGCCTCTCCTCGTCCATCTCTGTTGCTCTCTCCCCTTCCACCTCTTCTTCATCTCCTTCAGTACGTTTTCTCTTCGATTTTCTCCTAGTTCTTTCTCTCCCAACCTGGTTGTCTTGTCCTAATTCTGACCCTGGACCACCACCTGAAAAATCACCTGAAACACCACCTGCTGCGGCTGAGCTTCCAGCTGCACCTCCATCAATTTCCTTCCCATAATCATCAATTCTGTCTTCATTTCGACCCTCTGCCTTTTGCTTCCTCCTCCTCCTTCTCCTCCTCTTCTTCCGACTCTTGCCCCTCCGTTTCTTTCCCTCTTTCCCGCCATACTCCTCATCACCACCATCCTCCGATTCCCCTTCGCCATCCCCCCACCTCCTCTCCACTTCCCCTTCCTCAACCCCCTTCACCTCCCCCTCCCTCTTCTCTCCCTTCCTCGCTCCGACACCCTTCTCCTCCTCATCATCCCAGCCGTCCGATCGATCCCGAACCCGATCCAACGCCGTTTGTCCCTCCACGTCAGCATCACCATTCCCCAGCCTCTTCAAACGATCTCTGCTGCTATCCCCTGCTTCATCACTCTCATCTAACAACAAGCCATTGTCTTGCAAGTCTAGTGCGTCTTGCTGCAATCGGTGCCGCGGGTGCAGGTGGTGGCGCGAGTGTGAGTGGGAGTGGGAGGAGAGGGAGAGGGAGGATGGGTCGTCAGGGTAGATGGAGTCGTCTGAGTGATGGTGGGATATGTCACTGGCCGAGGGAAGGGGGGGAGCACGGGAGGAGAGGGGAGGGGATTGGAGGGGAGGAGAAGGGAGGGGAGGGAGGGAAGAGAAGGGAAAAATGATTGGGAACCGAAGGGAGAACAAGGGGGGAAGGGAGGGGATGGGAGAGGAGGGGAGAGGATGGGGGGGAAGAGAATCCATGATTAGCTGTGCATGTGACATTCGCATGTGAGAGTTTGACATGCGACATGTAGTAGTATGTGCATTGAACGCGCATCGCCGTGATTGCATAAGTCGGGTAACCCTATTAGCGAACACTGACACCACACAAAGGGGGAAAATAAAACACAACATTTGATGCGTCAAGCGGCCAATGCCAATGAGTGTATAAGAAAATTACCTGTAGAGCATGCAAATGATGATCATATTAGTAGCCGTTAGTAGAATCACAGGTAACTGCTGGCATATATTCCATCTCCCCTTCCCATGTGTTGTCCCAGACCCAGACAACCCACTGCTGCCACCACCACCAGCAGCACCAGCAGCATCAGCAGCAGCACCGGAACTACCACCACCGACCGCATTCCCATTTCCGTTACTGCTGCCTCCGCCATTCCCGACGCCATTGGCGGAACCTCTGCTACTAGGCGAGCCGCTAGCCCCAGGTGCGGTATCTAGAGCAGCGCACACGAACGCCCCCGCGGGGCCCCCTCCGCCGCCCGCGCTTCCGCGGAGCGTGGCGGAGGGGCGCGTGGAGGACCCCTTGCGGTGCGCCGTCATGGTAACGACGGGAGGCGGGGCCGCGGCTTTGGTCGCCTCCGCACCCGCCGCCGCCGCAGCAGCTTCCGCTGCTGCTGCCGGTGACGGCTTTGCCTTACTCTGACTAAGTAGGCATACGTCACTACTATCAAACTGATAGGAATTTATTAGTGGCAAGATTACCGTCCTAGGTCAATGCAACCGCTATGGAGCTTAGCTGTCATTTCACGAGACAAGCGGCGCGGATTAGACCGTGAAGTGGAAGGGAGAGGTAGGAAGAGGCGTGAGTGTGCGCAGCGGCACCGGAGGACAAGGTAATGGCAAATGCACAACTGTCAAATAATCGAAAGAGAAGGGGGTAAGAATGGGAAACGAAAGGGCAAGTCTACTGTCGCGTTACTATCGCCAAATGGAAAGCTTGAGGTCAATGCTGCCGTTTTGTTCTGCTCTGCTGCAGAAGAATGTACTGTACATGACTAACGGCACGGAAAGTGTGGTGGACCAACTGTAATTCGGTGAAACCCAAGTCACGAGTGAAACGCGACACACACTAGAGCCCGATAAGCTAGGAAGGAGCATTGAGGGCGGGTCCAACTCATCACAGCTCAGGTCAATATTAGCCTCTGTAACCTTTTTCTGTAGGGTAACCGCGTCAAATCATGAGATCCGGGATGACGGGCTCGGTTTTCCGCCATGCAAAACGAGTTTCGTGCCACAACACATTTCAAACTCGAAAATTTTCCGAAAATATTTGGGAACTGGGAAGCAAAAGCAAATCAAACTTTCTCACACACATCCCAGTAACAGAGTGTATTCGTGATTGCGAACTGTATTAGTTTCGTCAGACGGTAACCTGTCTCGCAACAGTTCCAGTTCCTAGAGTGTCTTCCCACAAAAACCCCTGACGAAGTCTGCCGATTGCACGCATTATTTTTTCCCCATCAACTTCTGTTCATACGGGAGGGATGTTGTGTCTGTTGATGGTGCACACCAGTTCGTTTGGGCAGGTGCTGTGCCCGCCTGGGGTCAACATGACGCTGCACGTGTTTAGGTTCGAATTGGGTGTTTGTCATCCGGACAGTCAACATTTTGTTACAGGGGTGTTATCCCCGAAACCAAACGAGTTGGACCCGCCCTGATACTAGGAGCAAACATCGCACCTGACACGATCTTTGCGACCAATTTCAGAAACTAACGGCGTGTTGCAATTGGCGGTACACTGCATCGGCTCGGGACATTTGGAAGGCTCTAGGCAGGCGGGAGGCCAAACACGGGCACTGATTCGGGAAAGAAAAGTTTCAAGATAGTGATTCAAAGAGTTATTTTCCAAGGTTATACTAGGTACATCGATTTTCTTTGCGCGTTTTCTGTGAAAAAATTACGGCCTATGGCTTTCCTGGAACCTTCCTGAACCCGTGCTCTTAGCCGAGCCGATGCAGTGCACCGCAAATTGGAACACGCCGTAACTGTCCAGTTGAGAATCGCACTGTAATGTTTTGATGACTCCCCCGTAGTGTTCTGGACAGTAACGTACGGAATTCTGATTTTGTTGCTTTTCACGACAATCATCACGTTCGTGGTTCATCTTTCAGAACCCAGTTTCAGCCAGGTGAATGCTTCTCGTTCACGCTGCACACGCACAAAATAAGCGACTGCCTTCAGCCCAACCCCCATGTGCCGAATTTTGCACCTCAGCGAATGGGTGGATGACTGCTGGAACAAAGCAATCACATCTGGGGGGTACCTGCAGAGTCAGCTGATTGGTTAGCATGGCATCCTCATTTTTAACAGCTCACGGGAATGTGGGGATCGGACGGAGAGGACGGGTAACGAAAGCAGGAAATATGTTACATCATAGCCCAAGTCACCTCAAATAGAAAGCTTTACTTCCAGCTGCTCTTTATTGATGGACTTCACAATTCAGGGCATGGATGCTACACAAGAGCAACTAGTTCAGCCAGGGGAGGAGAATAACCAGGGAGCATGAACTTAATCTTGGGACTACTATTCCTCTGCTTTCTTGAGTAAACAGGCACGGCCACAGCGCTCCGCAACGGCAATGGCCGCAGCATTTAGTGGCGCAGAAACTGAAGGCCATTGGCTGCAATCATGGGCCTTTCAGCCCATCGAGGCGGCCTTCGCATCCTCCTCTTATTTGCTTCGGGGCTCTCCTCCTCTCCACGGAAAAGCACTCCGAGCTTGCGAGCCACGTCATGGAAGGAATGCACGTCGTCCTGCCATAGCCATGCGGAGCAACCTGCGTCCCTAGCTCCCCAGAGGTCGTTCCTCCTGTCATCTCCCACATGCACCGCATGGTGTGGATCTACACCCACCAGGTCACATGCTGAGTGGAATATCACTGGGTTGGGCTTCTCTGCTTGAATCTGAGAAAAAACGAGAAGAGGGGAGTACAGAAAGAACACAGGGTTGCAAATATGAAAAAGGGAACAAGCACATAGAGTCACACTCTATTCCTATCCAACGCATGACATACCCATGCTATGACAAGACATGGGCATGGCACCACACCACAATCATACATATCCACACAGGAAGCAGCCCACCATGAATTCTGTTCCAGCAAGGACAGAAAATTTGCTGTCCACGCACCTCAGCGGAGACAGCAATGGCGTCGAACCAGTCGTGGCATTCAAGCTCCTTGAGCACAGTGCGCAGGCGCGTGTCAAAGTTGGACACAACGGCTATCTTCACTCCCGCGTCGCGAATGGCGGTGAACGCCTCCTTGGCATGCGGGTCCGTGAGACGCCACGCCTGGAGGGGGCGAGGAGGAGAGATGAGGGGAGGGGGAACGGGGGAAGAGAGAAAGAAGAGGTGGATGTGAGAGGCAGAAGATGAGGGGGAGGAGAGGGGGGGGGAGGGAGAAGGGAGGGGAGGGGGGGGGGGACTGGGGGAAGAGAGGGGATGGGGAAGGGGGGAATCAGCGTGGAGTGAGCGATCCACGATTCATCATGCGTCAAAACCTCTGGGGGAAGGTGCAATTACCTCCTTGGTCGTGTAGTACTGGTACAACTCCTCCAGGTAATCCGGGTGGTTGCAGCCTGTTGACTCCGAAACCACGTATTGCCAAAACGGCCGCGCGTCGTCCTCGTATCTCAGAATCGACTTGCGCCATGGCTGGATATACGCGTGACGGTACCGCTGCAGTATTTCATCCTCCGAGTATTTCACTCCGTATTTGCGCCCCAGATCCGCGTACACCTTAGTGACTGGCTCGCTAGGTTCTACAAGGGTTCCCGCAGCGTCGACGAGCAGCGCGCGGTGCTCCACTCCGTTGTCACTCGATCCGTCGCCGGACTGCGTCCTGCGACTTCCATGCGACGAGTGCGACGATTCCCACGACGGGAAGGGCATCGTTTGGAAGGGCTCGGTTGAGGAGTCGCAGCCACCAGAGGGCGAGGGAGTGGAAGATGACGGAGAGGATTGGAATGAGAGCAGTGAGGAAGAGGACGACGAAGAGTCGAGTGCTGTGGCATCGTCATGAGTGTTTTGCGCTAAGGAGGTCGGAGCGACTTCTTCCTGTTCTTGAAGCGTGTGCTTTTGTTGCTGCCACTGCTGTTGTTGCTGCTGCCACAGCTGCGCTCTGCGGAACGGCGAGGGGTAACCCTGCGGCTGCTTTTCGCTGCCGTATTCGCCATCGACATCGTCGTCGTCGTTGTCCTCGTATTGAACGGCTACAGCGGCTGTGCTCAAATTCCGCGTGCTCCCAGATCTGCTAATACCCGTGTTTGCAGCTCCAGCAGGTTCACCATTCGAGGAGATCGAATTGTTTGAGGCGACGGGAGCACACGTAGGGCCCGAGGTAGGCGCAGAGACGGACGCGGAAGTGGCGATATTCGCAGTGGCGATCGCGATGGGTGCGAGCGATCTGCTGGTGACGGCAGCGTGGAAGACGCGCGAGAGAAGCGCCGGGACGGCTCCTGACCGCCCTACTGCTGCCCCCGCTGCTCCCGCCGCCATCAGGAACTTAGACGTGTTAGCCATTGCTTTGAACCTATGAACGCGGTAAGGATATACGGGCGGACGACGTTGATGTTGGAATTACCCGGCAATTACTGTGTCAGTGTACAAGGCGCTATCATGGGCGATTGGCAGCGCTGGCTGTGGTTGTGTGAGAAGATACGATGGAGGTTGTGCGGGTAAGAGGAATACGCTTGCCGTTGAGTAGAACACAGAAATCGGCTTATGGACGGAGAGCAGATGAGGTGGAGGACAAAGACATGTGCGTGAAGCACGGTCCGGGCTGATACACGTTGAGCTATGGACACTTGATGATGATATGATTATGGTAGCCCAACGGCTCACTTCGTGACTCGAACAAATGCTTCCTCGATCGTCAGCTTGAGAAGCGTAGCACAAAGTGGGAGAGAGAAGTTGGTTGGAGGTGATCGCACTCAGAAGCAGCACAAACGAGCATTCACAGGGCAAATGCTGAGCAGATAAGGGGTGCAAAGAACGCGGGCTTGTAAAGTGAACTGGCGAATGCTGTCGGAGCGCGGCCTTCTTGCGTGGAGATGCAGAATCTGGGTTCGTCGAATGCAGGGAGGGAGTTCTGCGGCTTCTCGCAACGAATGTCCAATGACCTCCACAGAAGCTGCAACCAACAAGAGTTGGAAGCGAATGGGAGCACTAGCGCGGAGAGCGCTGGCAAGCTGAGACGAGCACAAAAAGGGCAGTGTCAAACGCGTCAAGCTTTGGCACAGGAAAGAAACGTGAGCAGGGCAGAGAATGACAACAGGGGCTGTTCTGGATCGAACGGGCACGGAATGAGTTGCGCTGAATTGAGGGAGAGAAGCGGCTTTTGTAGAAATGCCAAGTCGAGGGAAGAAAAAGGGAGACACGTGAGAAGAGGAGCAACGACAGGCGAGGGGGTGAACACTGAACAATGAACTGTGATGGGGTCCGTGCGGGGGAAGGGGCTGCGGGAGCTTTGGAGGGGGCGGGGGAGCGGGGCGAGGGCCCTGGGCGGGATGAAGCACAAGCGCGGGGATGGAAAAATACGAGTAGCGGGGGGTGCCAAGGTGGACTGCGCGTTGTGGGGGTCACAGACAGTTCCGCGCACGGGGGAGTACGCGCTGCGACCTCAGACACAGCCCAACTGAGCTGGCCTCCAGATCAGCCCACATCATTCGGTTCCCGTCTTGGAAGGGCATGCCTTGGGGGGACCACACCACACAGTGACACTCCCCCCATCCTCCACCCGCGCCGCGCGCTCCTGACTTCAGCCCATGGCGACAAAGACTTCTGATAATGGTTCGCTTTCCGTCGCACATGGTCGCGCTAGTCGTGGTGTAATCAGTCTGAAACAGTGAGTGGACCTGTTTCGTCGCAGCCAATCTGCTTGCACAAATTCCGTCAGCAATTCTGCACAACAATACGCGAACCAGGCCTTTCGGGCAGCCTCTTCCACCCATCACATCCATTCCGTCCCGTCTCCAGGGCTCCAATCCAAACCCAATGTGGGCAGGTGACACGCTGGACCGCTCTGAGTGGGATATTGTTTGTGTTTTCCGATCTGATTAGTCGCTTCGCGTGACGGTCTGGGAAGCTGCAAAACTCATCTGCATTTGGGTCCACATCATCCTTGGCGCATGGACACGTGTTGACCACTCGTGTGTATGAAAATCTCATCAAATCGACTGCAGCTTACACATGTGTGGTTCTGAGTTAGCCGTTCCATCTCGAAGACGCCAAGCCGTGCAATAGTTAGGGGAAATCGCACCTCGTTATCATGTGGTCCCTGGGGTCCAACTTTACCGCGACCGAGATCACGGGCAAGACTACCCAAGCTGTTGGAAACGAGCAGCCCAACCTCACCCGAATCCTGAAACCGAACAGAGTGTGGGTCTGCCACCAAGCGTGATATAGGTAACGCCATTAGTGGATAGAAATACCACAACAAAACTCAAACTGAAATGGGTCTGTACTAACAAATTCATTGTGTTTCGCACAATGCAAGGTTGCACAGAATCCCACTTTCCTTATATAGAGAATAATATAAATCTGGTGGTGCTGTGCATCGCTTCTTCCCATACGATAAACATAGTTCTTTGTTAAACCTTGTTACAATCCCAAGTGGGACTTAGCGAAGGATCGCTCAGGGTTGATCGCATAGTAGTGTTGCAGCGGAAGTAGTGAACTCAGGTCAGAGTGAATGTAAATGACTGAGATTGATAGTAGCATGCATACATCAGGTTTATATAATGTTAGAGTGAGGATCTTGGACAGGATAGGAAGTGCTTTGGTAGAGTTGGTAGCGGAAGTCTTGTAAGAACTCAGATCATAGTGAATGTAAATGATCAAGTTGATTAAAAGATAGAATACAAGGAATATAAATAGTCTTAGTCTAGCCATGTACTCTAAGGGGTACATTCCCTTGTTATAACTGTTTTACAGGCATTTCTACACTGACTTTGACTTTTGTTCTGCCTTTCTTGTTATCGAGTCGCTGCATGTAACCTGTACGGTTACGCCTGTTGCCATTCTTTGATGGTAAGTCAAGCGTCGGTCCAGATGGTCAACAGTCGCGACAGTTGACTCTTGCGACTGTTGACCTTCCTGCCCTTGTTACGGGCTGATCCGATACTGCGGTAGTTACTGCTTCGACAGAGTCAGGTGCGATACTACTGCACCTACTGGAATGCCAAGTACAATGTCCTTCACACTCCAACACTCCCCTTCATTCCTGGAGGTGCGCCACATGGCTTTTGCGAGTGACTCCGCACAGGTCCGAGCACTACTGGAACTTCTGACGTGGCAGTTTCTTCGTGAGGAAATCGACTGCCATTTCGCCAGTTGGACAGTAGGTGAGCTGGACCTTCCCTTTGTCGATTCCGTCCTTCACGAAGAAGTAACGCAGGGCGATGTGTTTCGTGCGGTTGACGGAGCCTGGCTTGTTGGCGATTTTGATCGCGCTCTGGTTGTCGCAGAGTAACTTAAAGGACCCGATCATCGTCGTCTTCGTTTCCTGTAGGAGTTCCGTGAGATAGAGTCCTTCGCGAACTGCTGCGCTTGCTGCGATGAATTATGCTTCTGCTGACGAGAGGGCGATGAGTTCTTGTTTGTTGGAGTTCCAGGAGATGGTTCCTGCGGGCTCGAGTTTGAAAATGAAGCCTGTGCGGGACCTCCTGTTGTCTACGTCCCCTGCGTGGTCAGCATCCACGTAGCCGGTGAGTTGTAGTGGCGCTGTTAAGTTGGCCTTGTAGGTAAGGCCAACATCAGGCGTAGAGATGAAGTACTGTAAGGCGCGGCGCAGGTCTGCTAGGTTCTCCCCTTCAGGTCGGCGCAGGTACTGGGCGAGCTGGCTGGCGATGTAGGATAAATCCGGGCGGCATGTGACGGCGGCGAACAGTAGGCATCCGAGCTGCTGCTGATAGAGACGGTGATCAGCTGGTGAGAGCGGAGTAGTGTCGGGCTCGTGGTTAGGCGGAGGAATGCGGAATGGGGTGGTGACGCCGACGGGAGCTATCCCGAATTTCTTAGCAAGGGTCTCGGCGTACTTTGCGGCGGAGAGATGAATGGTGTCCGCGGTCTGAGTGATGTTGAGGCCGAGGAATTGAGTGACCTCGTGGTCGATCGTGACCTCCAGTTTTTCCTGGATTTCACGTTCGAAGCGGTTGAGCAGGTCGTTGTCGTCGCCGGTGTAGAGAAGATCGTCGACGTAGGCGACGAGCAGGATGAAGTGGCCGCGGGATTCGAGGCGGTACATCCCCTGATCGTGGGGAAGCTGTTGGAAACCGAGCTCGATGAGGACGCCGTGAAGATGCTGCTGCCACAGGCGAGGTGCCTGCTTGATACCGTACAGGGACTTTTGCAGGAGACAAACTGCGTCGCCGTCTTCTTCGAACGCGTGTGGCTGCTCGACGTAGATGATAGCGTCGACGATCGCGTAGAGGAACGCATTGGAGACGTCGATCTTGCGAAGCGGGCGCTGTTTCACGGCGGCGATGCAAAGAAGAATGCGTACTGAGGTATGACGACCGACAAGTGCGAAGGTCTGGTTGTAGTCCACGAATTGTGTCTGGTCGAATCCGCGAACCACCCAGCGCGCTTTAATTTTTTCGACTGTTCCGTCCGCGAGGGTCTTGATGCGGAAGAGCCACTTCCCTGTAAGGATTTTCCTCCCCTTTGCGTGGCGCCGTGGTACCAGCTTCCAGGTTCCGCGACGTTGCAGTGCAGCGACTTCTGCGGCCATGGCGGCTCTCCACTTCTCGGCATCGGGCCCGTTGAGAGCCTGGCGAACGGTGGTGGGTTCGACCAGCTGCTGGTTACCACGCACGGCGACAGCGAGGCCGAGGATACGAAGGCCCGTGAGGTTGGATTCGGCTGTGGTGGTAATTTCGACCACGTCGTCGTCGTCACCAGGGATGTCGCGAAAGGTGTCGCGAGATGAGTCACGAGCTGGGTCTTCGTTCATGGGTGAGTGCATTTCTGCACTTGCGTAATCATGCTGTGCCTGTACTGCTTCGTGGGGATTGGTGTCTGTTGGGAAGAATGTGGGAGTGCCGAACTGCTCCGTAACGGGGATGAAGGGTGCTTCGTCTGCTGCTGCCTCGTCTGGTTGTTCTCCTGCCACGTCAACGTCGTCCTCGTCATTGGCGTAGCTGTGGTGTCCCAGGAAAATGTTGTCCGGTGCGTTCTGTGCAGTGCGGTGCTGGCGGTACAGTGGCAGGGTCAGTCTTTCGTAGAAGATGCAGTCACGTGAACGCGTGAGCTGGTGGGTGGCGAAGTCCAGAATTGTCCAGGCGTGGTATTCAGATTCGATTCCGAGGTGAATGCCCCAGCGAGCGCGATCCTCAAATTTTCCGGTTCGGGCAGTGTGAGGGCGGTACTGTACCATACACCCGAAGACTCGCAGCATGCGTGTATCGGGGTGTTTTCCGGTTCACTCCTTAAAAGGTGAGCTGTTGTTGGGCAGTGCCTTCGAGGAGAGCATGTTGTGCAGCCGAACTGCATGCGCCATGGCGAAGGGCCAATACTTGGTT